ACTTGAAATATCAGACAGAGAGGCTCTCGCTCGTTTTCTGGACAATCCGGGAGTCTGAAACACAGAGCTGTATGTTTTTATCTGTCCTGGTAAGTCCAAAGCACCAGATTTTTCCATGCAACACAGACTACATTAAGCTGCAGCAGTTGGGCTAAAGCTTTATCCTTTCCAGGGCAAGTATTTACAGATTAATGGCTGGTTCTGAAAGAACAGAGCGCGACTCGAAATGCTGACAGATCTAAAGACTTTGTGGTGTCACGTGCAAAGGTTTCTCTGCATGGTTCCTAACTCACCTGTTCCTCGGCACTTTCTTCTTCATCATTATTTATAGAAGATGTTTCAGTTTGGCCCTGTGTACAAAATGAAACTAATCAAAACAAATAAGAAAAAAAACTAAAACAACCCCAACCTCTTCTAAAATACTTTCCTTCCTCCCAAACATTTTGAAGTTTCAGCTGCTGCTAATTATTATCAGCTCAAGTCATCCCTATCACCTAAGCTACCAGTCTTATCTAATCATCTTCTGTTTCCAATCTGAAACAGAAAAGGCATTTTCCAGCCCCTCCATCTGCACCAGCTGGTCCTTGTTTTACTTTAGTATGATGCATTATCTAGTTGGGAAAAAAAAAAAAAAAAGCCACTCTACCATAAGACACATGTTAATTATTGTACCCGTAAAGGTGTCCCATTTCCTGTGCTTCCCCCTCTGTTTGCAAGTTCTCCTTGGGACGACACCGACACAGACATAGAAAATGGATGAGTAAAAAACCCAGAAGTCTGTGAGCGCGATGAGCGCAAGCTACCAGCGTCCATGTCCTCCTCTGAGCCTAAGTGGTGGCACAGCACGAGATCCACCAAGTCTTCCTTCTCCCTGCAGGTATCTGTCGGGATGTTTCTGAGAACAAGGTACTGGCGCAGATCCTTGACTTTCAGTCTCATCAGCTGTGGCCGCTGAAATGCTGTTTCTTGCAGCAAGTGACAAGTCGAACATCTTCTGAGATTCTCTTGTAAGACGGAACAAACGGAGCAGAAATCCTTCTTGCAGTCACAACACACGTGCTAAGGATGAGAAAATAACCACGCAGTTGAGTCAGAACGTGAGCCCACGACCCTGCGCCAAACCTCATAATTTACTGCTGCCCTTTCATCGCTGATTGTGACAAACATCAGCTTTAGGATTTAAGTCTAGAAAATTGCCCCATCAAATAGCTCTGCGGCTGTGCCAAGGTGGAGCAAGACAACAAGGAAAGGGGAAACTGAACAAAACTGAGCAAAGAGGCTTCAGAGAATGAGGTCAGTAAGCGGGCCTAAATGGACAAGGTAATAATGATGGATGGTCATATGCAGAAGTGACACCAACAATCTCAATTTTATTTACCTGGAAACTTAATTAAGCCACCAGCTTGGCCCCAAATGATATGAGGTCACTGGAGCACAGCAGCACTTAACAGAACTAAACCCGTTTAACAAACAAACAGCACTTCACAGAAAGAAGCTGTGATACTAAATTGGTAGTGGTTAAACTTGTCTGTTATGTAGTTTGTTCATTTCAGTACCCCACCACTATGGCTGATATCCTCTGCAAACACAGATCTGTTTTAAGAGCCAAGATTCTGCACCTAAAACATGCACCTTACAAATAGGATCAGCACATTCCCAGCTCAGCTCAGATCCAACGTCAGATCCCTTAACTTCTAATCCTGTCTGACGTTCATTTCCTGTGCCCTTGGGATGAGGCACTTTCTCCCTCCCTGACCATCTGACTCAGTTGTCCTTACTGGAGGAAAAAACATGTATGTATTTGTATCCCCATATGCCTACAGATTAGTTCATATTAGTAAAAATATGATTTAAAAGGAAACGACTCACTTTTCTCCTAAAAACTGAGAAGGGCAGTCCACAGGCTTTGCAAACCACGTTAGCAGCTGCTGCAGCTGGAGATGGACACGACGAGAAAGCCGCGTTCGGGGCGAAGCGGAACGGGCCGGCGCCTCCCGCAAAGCCGGCCTGCTGGCCACGGACAGCCCCAGTCCCCATGACTTCATTCAGCAACCCGCAGCAGGAAGCCCACATGGAAGTAGCTCCTGCCTGGAAGCACGCAGAAAAAAGAAAAAGGGATAAAACTGAATATCCTAAGACCCATGTAACACGTGTCCTGCTGCCACAGGGCCTCGCCGTCCCATCTCTCATCATCCCAAAGCGCGCTGTGTGCAATCCCAGAGCACAAGGAATGCAGCATACAAACATCAGTGCAGCCCAGCCAGCCACCCTTTCCAGCTACAACCCAAAGTAGGTAAGATTTGCTTCCGAGAGGCTGAAGCAGGCACAAGGAGCTCCTTTCCTCCTGCTGTGAAGCAGAGTTCTTCACAGAAAAAGTAAGGAATTTGAAGAGGTGATGCAAAGTGAAGGAGGAGAGACTGACAGTCAATTGTAGGCGAAGGACAAGAGCTGAAGGGACGAGAGCGAGAGGTGCAACAGCTTTGTAAGGCTGCCTCCCTGTAGGACCTTCTCCAGAAGTAACTCAGTTCTTTTAGGACTCACGGTGAAACTCTAAAGAACATTTCTGGATCTTCAAACAAACAAACCAAACTTAATTCCAAACTCATGCTCTGTTTCTTTGAGAGGGAAACATCTTTCAGGCCCTCCCTGGAGCTGCTCTGCTGTTCTCTTACACAGGGGCTAACAAAACTAAAGTACCTCCGAATAACTTTATTCCATATTGACTGTATTTCTGGTTTGAGCCCTACTGTTTTATCTCAAACACTATAAAGATAAATACACACATTTCACTGCTACTTTTTTTATCCTTGAAAGCCTTCAGCACCAGATTCTCTATCAGATTTATACTTCAAGTTGGAATTTGGAACCTACACACTGTTTGGGTCATACACATAATTGCAGTCATGTGGCTCATGGAAACCTATTAAACAACAACAAGAACCAACAGAAGCACACTGGGTTTTTTGCAGAAGGAAGCTGAGTGGTACAACTATCTTTTAAACATATTTTTGTTCACCTTTTTTTTTTCTTACCTATTCTAAGTTCTTCTGTTTTGTTTTCTTTATTCCAGGACAGCAGCCTGGACAGCAGCCTCTACCCCTTCAAGTGTAAAGACACGGAACATTGGGTTTGAGCCTGCAAACCTCAACCAACCAGAGCACACGTCAGCCCAGTGATGGCACTGCAGTCCCTGCAGCGACTGCTTTCCATCTTAACACACACGAAGCAGAAAAGCTCAGAAAGGAGTCCTTACTGTGGTGCAGAGAGAAGCTGAGGCACAGAGCCATAGGACTAAACATGCCCTAAAAGGCACTTGCACGAACACGTTGTTAAGAGTGGAACATCAAAAGCACCTCTCTGACCTACACAAACCTGGTGCTCCACTCTTACTGCTGTATGCTGACACTACAAGTGTTGCAAGGCTAGCAGTACGGTCGGTCCTTCTGCTTCTAAGCTGTGGGCAGTAATAACATCAAACAGGTATGCAACAAACAAAACTCACTAGCCCAACTGTTTTCAGAGCCACGTTCACCCCAGCTGTAACCAGGAACCTTCACACAGCACAGAGAAAAGCCTGCAGAGCTCAGGGCATGACTGACCCTGGTTGGTACCTGCAGCTCACTGCCCTCCACACTGAGCCATCCAGCCAAGACTTGCTCTCTGCTTTCCAGCAGCAGAGAGTGGAAACGTCAATATTCCTTTCTCCTGCACAAAACAAATGATGTGTAGTTCTTCCTCCTTCTTAAGTAACAGTTAAATAACGTTTCAGAAAAGCATTCTTAAAACTGGTGACTTAACACTAGGAGCTCTCTTGGATGCGAGGCTGGTCTTTTGAAAAGTATTTTTTTTTTTTTCCACCTTAATGGAAAGTTGTCAGTTGCAAAAAAAATAATGACTAATTCTTCACATGGTCTTACAGAATTGTCACACCAGCTTTATAGTGAACAACAAAAAACTGCTGCAGGCAAATAAGCGCAGAAAGATAAAACACTGAGCCAGAAGTTTGTGAGAATCCAACCAGCTCCACTGCAGGGCACCCAGCAGCAGGACAACAGAACCAGGAGAGAATGCAGCTGCTACCCATGTCCTTACCAGGCAGTTTAACACTTGGAGGAGAGATTTTATTGAATGGCCTGTAACAACTCAGACAAAGCTATAAGCTCAGGGTAAATATGCATCTAGGAAGTTTGTTATCCACTTTTGATACCTGAATTTTCTAAGTATTGGACAGAAGACGTGTGTTACAGTTGCTCCAAGAGCGGATCTATGCAGATGAAAGGCAGTGAAACAGTGTCCTTAATTCGCTCCTTAACCTCAGTCAGCTCTGCAGCTTCCCTGTGATACCGAGCCAGAAAGCACCGACACAACTCATAGATGAGACACTAAAACAAGCAGCTTCCTCCGTGCAGAGCTCAGCACAGCCCGGCCGAGCAGCCAAAGCCTTTCCAGCCATCCTTCCCCACGATCCTCCGGCTGCTCCCTTCACCTCCACGCTCCGCGCACCCTGCAGCGCCGTGAAATCGCATTTCGGCCCTCCAGCCTCAGAGCCCAGCCGTGCCCGCAGGGCTGCTCGCGGCCGCGCACAGCGGCAGGAGGATCCTCCCGCAGCAGCCCAGCTTTAACGCCCCGGGGCCGCGCAGAGCTTTCCCAAAAACGGAGCTCGGCGAAGACCCGAAGGCACGGCGCCCATCCGGGGGTCAGACGAGAGAGCCGTGAGGGATTGGGCCTCGCCTCGGGCCCCGCCCGCCCGCTGACTCAGCGAAGGCCCCTCGGCGAGGCGGTCGCGGCCTCGGGAGCCCCTCTGTGGCGGCCGCGGCCCGAAGGGAGCGGAGGGCCACGGCGCAGCTCGGCCCGCCCCACCCCCAGCGGGGTCCCTGCCGCACCGCGCTCCGTTTCGGCCGCCCTCGTCCCTCCCACAGCCGGCCCAGCCGAGGAAACCCGTCACCTTCATGGCCGCTCCGCCGCCTCAGCACGGCGCCCTACCCGGCGCCGACCCCCGCCCGCGGGCCGCCTCACGGAGGGCGGGCCTTCCCGCGGAGCCGCGTCCTATTGGGTGTTCTCCTCGCGACGGCGGCGGGAGGAGCCAATGGGAGGAGAGGAAAAGCCGCCGAGGGTGGGCGCGGAGGTGGCCTTGAGGCGAGGTGAGGCCGGGGCCCCCAGGGTGGGCGCTGAGTGACTGAAGGGGTTTATTATTTGAAAATCCAGCTCCAAAAAGCTTCCGGATCCCGTTATTACTTTATTTACCTTATAAATATATTAATTAAAAAAAAAAGTTTTAAGAATAAATTTAAAAAAAAATTGTAACCTGTATTGTAACAGTATTACAATAAAAAGCAAATCCTGAGGCAAGCTTTACGTGAGGGCACAGAGCCAACAAACAGGGCCCAACAAAAGTGTTTGAAAACACATTTCGAGCCCAGGCTCTATTACTCATGGAGAAGGTTGCAAAGCCCTTCGTAACTTGGGGTGGGGAGGCTGTGTTTGCAGCAGGGCTCAGAGATGGGCGACAGAGGGGAGAAAAATGAGTTTTCCCATGAGCTGTGCTGAGAGAAAACCTCCCAGACACCTCCCAGAGCCCATGGCCGTGCTGACAGCCCTCAGCACTCTGCCTTCATTGGGGCAGATGTCAGTGAGTCACGCTGTGACACTGATTTGAGATCTCTTTATCACTACGTCTGAGTTTTAACCATGACTGTTGTTCTTTAACAGGGAACTTGAACCTCAGTGGCTGCAAAGTGGCATTGCTGAGCTCAGTTAATAAGCCTTGCCCTCGCTGAGCTCTCGGGGTTGTGCCAAAGAAGCATTAAAAGATTTGAATCTATTAATACAAGATGTCCCATTTACTTCTGCTGTGGAATAACGAGGAATGATGACTCACTGGAGCTCCGTGATCCCCCATGGTTTTACATGGTAAATAGAGAAATCATTCTTAGCAGGAATCACTGTTTGCTTTCAGTGTTTTCAGTTGTGAAATCACAGAATCACAAAGATTGGAAAAGACCTCTAAGCTCATCACCCATCCCTACCACACCCAAACCATTGTACATTACTTTTGAAGTAAATGTTAATCTCCAGGCTTTATTTGGGAATTTCAGAGTGGGTATTACTACCAATACAAAAAGTCCTTACAGCATTCACTCCCAGAGGCACACGGTAATTTGGGTTTACTATTTGAGCAGGTTCAAAGCAGGACTGTCAGCGTGACTTGCATGTTGAGTTTGGAGAGTTACATGGAGTGTCAGGATTTGGGCCAGATGTGTCATTTCCTTGTCTCTCCAACTTCTGCAAATGCCGACTGCAGCTCTCTTCTCCGCCCCTCCCTGCAGCCCACTTTGCCATTTCAGTGCTTCCGCCCAAGCTGTCTTACTTTATTTTCAGGAAATACCACGAAATTAACCTTTGTAACATAACAGCTGCAGCTATTTCCTGCTTTTTATATTCAGATACAGCTGAACAAGTATTAGCTCATTGAGATCTGGGAAGTTATCACTACTTATGCTCACAACAACTAATTACAGCATTAAGCTTCTTCAATATAAATGTATTCCAGAAAATTACTCCAAGCTCGATTTGCCTCCTCCTCCTCTAACCACATCCAGGCGTGCCTGAGTTGTAATCCCTGGTGATGTGCAGATGTGTAAAAATGGTGACTTATGAGTTGCTCCTCCTCCCTCTCCAGTAAGAAAATAAATAAATAAATGGAAAGAAAAAAAGAAAATAAATTAAAAAAAAAAAAAAGAGAGAGAGAAAAAAAAGAAAGAAAAGAAAGTAAAAAAGAAAAAGAGAAGAGAAAAAAAAGAGAGAAAGGCGGAAAAAAGGAAAATAAAACTAAAGAAAAAGATAAGAAAAAGAAAAAGGAAAAAAAAAAAAGAAAAAAAGGAAACAGGGGGAAGGGAAGGGGAGGGGAGGGGAAAAGAAAAGAAGAAGAAGAAGAAGAAAAGGAAAAGGAAGAAAAGGGAAAAAAAAAAAAAGAAGAAAAAAAAAGAAAGAAAAAAGAAATAAGAAAAAAAAATGGGAGAGAGAATTATTGCAGTAATCGGAGCGCTCTGTCTGGAGGCAGGGCACCATGATGAGACGTACGATGTGTTACAGATGGTGCGGTCCGGGCCCCACCGCCGCCCGGAACGTTTCCCCTCGGCTCAGTCCGCCAGCCGGTCCAGAGAGATCAGAGCACAGATCCTCCTCTCATTGGTCACGGCTCCTCTCACGTGACGAAAGCCGTGGCGGTGATTGGCTGGCGGGCGTAGCCGGTTTCCCTGGCGGGAGGCGTCCGGGTGCCGCTATGGCGAGCGTGCACGAGAGCCTGTACTTCAACCCGATGATGACCAATGGCGTCGTGCACGCCAACGTGTTCGGCATCAAGGACTGGGTCACCCCTTACAAGATGGCGCTGCTGGTGCTCCTCAGCGAGCTGGGCCGCTCTGGCTCGCAGCTCGACCAGCTGGAGCGGCGGCGGCTCAACCGGCTGCTGCTGCCATTGCTGCAGGTGGGGAATGGGACCGAGGGGCCGGGGGGGAGGCCTGACTTGTGTTCTGTCGCGACGTGTTGCTCTCCTCATCATCCCCAGGGGCCTGACATGCCGCTGTCGCGACTGCGCAAGGCCATCGAGGAGTGCTGCCCCAACCTGGCCGGCTCCGTGCACATCAGGTGGGCGGCCTTCGTGAGGCGGGGGACGACCTCGGTTGGGTCCTCAGCTCCGGTCTGCCCCCGTCAATGTGCTGTCTCTGTTCAGTGACAGGCGACACAGCCAGGACATGCACGCTCTCTGGTGTCTGGCCCCTTATCTGTGGATAAACACCTTCTCTGTTTGTTCTCATCCAGGCAGGATGGGACCCTGGGCAGCATTAGCTGAGGGGGCAGCCAGCTCACAGCAGAGGGTGGGGCTGGGGGGGCTTTAAGGTCCCCCTCCACCCTCAAGTTAAGTCACTCTTTGATTCTGTGAATCAAACTTTTATTTATTTATTTATTTATTTTGCTTTTATTTGAGTTCACTCATCTATACCTGAAGTAGAGGAATATTGTTTGATGCATAATATTTAAACACTAGAAGAAGTGTTGCTTGTTTGTTTTCCTATTTAGGTTAAAACTCATAGCTGAAGGAGAACTGAAAGATATGGAACAATTTTTTGATGACCTTTCCGATTCATTCAGTGGAACAGAGCCAGAAGTTCATAAAACAAGTGTCATAGGTAACTAGCTGTCATCTCTAAGCTGCTGTTAGCAGCATTCTCTCAAGATACAGCTTTGCTTTTCTTTTTATGGAGGAGTAAAGATTATAATATGATCTTTCTCTTTACTCAAATGTTTCATATTAACCAATAATGTTCTGTAGTGTGTACCTCTTGCTGACATCGTTCTGTGATCTGACAATCTGTGAGTTTTGCCACAAAATTAATTTGAGATTTATACTTGGCAGAACTAAGATTTATCAGTTGGTAGACTGAGATGAGATGCTTAACAACATCTAAGCTTCTGGCTATTATAATGATTTCTACTCTCCTCTCTGCAATAAAACTCCTACAGACCAATGTCACAGCATATGTTTTCCTTTCCAGGTCTATTTCTGCGCCATATGATCTTGGCATACAATAAACTTTCTTTTAGTCAGGTCTACAAACTTTACACTTCACTTCAGCAGTACTTTCTAAATGATGAGAAAAAATGTGGAATTGATGAGAATGATATGGAGCTGACCAATACAGAGGAACTGGATGGGAAAATGGAGAAAGAAGAACTTGATGTACCTCTAAGGTAATCTATGAATACTGAAATCTTTTCTATTATGTCAGCAAATCGGTTGTATTTCAAATTACAACTGTATGCATCAAGGTAAACTTGGGCTTCGTCCAGTTTCTACCCAAGATTTGACCCTGTTAAATGCCTTCCTGCTGTGGAGGAGGGGGAGAATGGGACAGTTATGTCACCTTTAGATTCAGAGGCTCTATTCAAAGGTTCTGTCTTTGTGTTGGTGAAATTGAAGGACTGTGAAGAGGTTGTGTCTGTTCGGATTGTTTTTCCCAGAGTCTGATGCACGCTGGCAGAGCTGGGTGGCCTTTCTGTCTCCTTGGTGCCACCGTGTGGTGGCATTTGTAAGTGGCAGCAGTTCTGCTGTTGCAGAAGATGGCGGTACTCCGTTCTCGAGCTCACCCAGGGAGCTGCAAACTGAAGGCTAGTGCTGCCCACCGTTTGGTCCTGTGCAGCCCACTGCCGAATGATTTTTTCCCATGTCATGTTAGTGTGCAGTGTGCTAAAGCTGTTGGAGAAATCACTTCAGCTTCCACTGCAGGGGAAGCAGAAAGACTGCTCTTAGGAAAAGCTAAGCTTAACGTTTTTGGTTTCTGTTTTTGCCCCTCCCCAAACAAATAAATACGTTCATTGACATCAAATGTGAGAAGCAAACACTGAGCCATTTCACTTGCTTGCAAAGTGTTTCACCGTAAGAATAGTCCTGAAAGTGTTTTGTGTACATGTGTACTTAAAGATGTGCCTTATAAACGGTATTTAAGTAAGCTTGTGTTTATCCAAGCTCTGCTATAGCTTGTGTCACTTAATGGTTTTTAGCATGTAGCTTTATGCTGTATGTCTGGTCTTTCCGTTGCAGAACATTTGTTTGCTGGAGTGATGGATGTGACCAAAATGCCAGTTCATTTCTTTCTGAATGTCTTCAGAAGGGGAAAACAGGGCAAACCATTGGAATATGTCACCGCCAATCTTATATCTGCTGCTTTTTAGTTTAGTTTTCTTGTGTATTTAGGGTAACAGATTGACCACGGTCTCAGTGGGCTGAAGATTGCAACAGCACCATGTGAGATCTTTTGGATTGCTAACTTTGATGTGGCACATTTTACTCTGAATTAAATTTTTTCTTTTTAATTTCCTTTTATGCCTCTGAGCTTACAGTGTCTCATAAAAATTCACAAGGCAGGAGTTCTGATAAAATGTGTTTCCTTGCATTTTATTTCATTGCCCCTGCTTCTAACAGGAGTGCTTTTTAACAGGGAAGAAGAGATATCTTGCAGCGGGCCTCTTTCCCAGAAACAAGCAGAGTATTTTCTTTCTCAGCAGGTATGTTAATTCTGAACAATTTGAGTAAATGATCTGTGACATGACTTCCACCTTCAGTTTTACCCAGTGTCAAGCAGGATGTTTTTTTAAATCTGTAAAGACTTGTTGATTATACTGCATGTAGATGCTCAGTTGAGCTTAAATGTGTTTTCTATCTAAGCATGGGCACTGTATGATGATATTTATGTGAGAAGGTCACATCCATTCTGACTCTTGCTTCATATTTGCTGTCTGCTGAATGTGTAGTTGTGTTGATTATTTCAGCAGATAAGAAAAGATAAGAAAAGAAGCAGAAATACATGAGTATAATTGTCAGTAAATGCTCTGCACACTTAGAGTAGTTTGCTAACAAAATCAAGTGTGTATCTTATGTAATGTTTCACATACATTTTACAAGTTTAAAGTGACTTCTCAGTCCCATTAGGATCCTTACTATTAAAGATTGTTGAATCTGGCATGGATTTACTTTTGTTTAGTTTTGTTCTCACAAAATAAATAAACAGATCAGGAAGCATTCATGCAATTCCAGCAAGCAATCTGTTGAACTAATTCTTGAACAAGAGAAATAGAGCTCTTTCCTTCAAACAGTCCCTCAAATATGCTTTTATTTTACCCGAACTGTCTGATCTCTGGAAAGTGGATGCTATAATGCAGCAAAGAATAAAACTGCCACTTATGTTTCAGTGTCATAACAGAGCTGTTCTGAAATCTTCTTTAATGCTCTCTTCAGGCAGATAACAGAATAACAACCCTGTATCAAAGTATATTCATAATGCTCAAGTTGGAGTTACTTAGCATTGGTTTCAATGTTGATTCTAGGCTTCTCTGCTAAAGAATGATGAAACAAAGGCACTTACTCCTGGATCTTTACAAA